TAAATTTCAGCATACATATCTTTCAACCAAATCATGATTGCGCTCGTGAAATTATCAAGAGTTCATACCTACACTTTTTCCTGTGACCAGTAGCATCTTTGAAAGTGGTACCCTTTTTTACCAAAAAAAAGTTCCGGATCACAGTATCAAATAGATACAGATAGTGATGGAACTTTGCTACATGAAATGGAAATTTTACAATAGGAAAATTGAAAAAAACACTTTTGTCAACAGCATGCAAGATCTTTACTATCGATTTGTATGTTTAAGTTGTTGTAGGATACAGATTTATCCCGGAGCCTTTGATGAATTACTTTACGGTAATTATATTCGAATTGTTAACAACTTTGTCTGTCGTCTTATAAGGACAGTTGTCCCTGCATCTTCTTATCATAAATATAAACATGGCAAATCAATCAAACATAATATAGGTTTACGAAGAAACGTAAAAAAAAAGGGTGATACGCATATATGACGTTTTGCTGTTTTAACAAGGAACATTTACATTTACACTTAACAATTTCTTACCTTCACAATGCTTCATGTTACAGTCCGTTGTTTCTACAGAATTACCGTCACAAGACTGACCACCATATTCCGGCATCGGATTATTACATTCACGCCATTTATTCATGTGTCCTTGACCGCAGGTGGCAGAACAATCTGACCATTCACTCCATGATCCCCAGCAACCATCCACTGTAGAAATTTTGTTAAGTGTTTAATGAGATAATTGTCGAAATGTTTTCGGATATTTCCTTTGCAATAGGCCACAACTTAAAAAGGGGGCACACACATGTATAGCTAGTAAATATTATCAAAAATATCTATAAATGGATCTATCAAACATTTTGTGTGGATATTATCAACGGAACAACGTTGAGCCGCCATATTGTGGAACTTCATTATTACAATCACGTAACCTATTCCTTATACCACTTCCATATGTAACACTAAAACTGACCTTTCAATTTATTAAAGCTTCACAATTTATATTTACTAAAAGTCCAAACAAAATGTTGGAATAAACAGGTAAGATGTGTGTACGCATTTTTTATGGTTGCTGTCTAAAAGTATAATCTGGTCGACTGCTTGGAATGACACTTTTAAATACTCAAAGAATTTTCTTCTGTTTCGTGTTTTATTTCAAATGAAAGATATTTTAAGATTATTTTTATGGATAGGTTGCCGTTTCGTGTAATGGTATGAAAAATGCTGTGTTAAGTCATTGACTGGGCCAAATAGTCACGGATTTGGGCAATGCTTAACAGGAGGGTCTTAACACCGCATCAATCTCTAATTACATGTATCATCATTAACTACTGGATAATTAAAATGACATTAAAAAAAACAAGTTTAAGGTCTCTTGTCGTCATAGAGCTCCTCGTGCATTTAATTATTTATACAGCATTGGTTCGAAAATGTTTGATGATTGAGCATTCCAGATAAAGGTATATCCAAAAATGTGCTTAAGATGTACTAAATTTATATAGTTTTATTTTAACTTTTCTTTAAATTTAAATGACTTCCATCAAGTCTGTTGTTTCACATTTGCTTATTTATTCCAAATTGATTAAAGAGATTTGAACATCAGTTGCCTATAATATACAACACTTATTGAAGACAATTAAGCTAAACATATTTGTTTTAGGACCATATGTTGAGAAAATGTCTTTGGAATTGTTGGGTTGCTGTGGAAACGACCCCGGATGGCTAACCTTAAACTCCATTTATTCATAGACAGAAATGTAACAGAATCTTACCTCCACAATTCTGTGTAAAACAATCCATTGTCTCGGTATCGCTACCATCACACGATTGACCACCATAGGATGGTAAAGGATTATTACATTGACGTGTTCGACTACTCTTTCCGTGACCACATGACACAGAACAGGCTGACCAATAACTCCATGACCCCCAGCAACCATCAACTGTAAAAAAACACTTAAACGTTAGTTGGCATGCTTAAATGCTGTTCAACATTTCTTTATTTAGGTACTACAACCGAATTAAAATTAAAAAATGGATAATACCTGCAACTGAAATCTTAATTTACTTAGACCGCTGCTGTGTTCCATGTTACATCATTGAGTTTCAACATCGACATACTCACAGCCGCCACAGTTGGATACATACCTGCCATGTGCATGAACCACAACCACATGTGGTACTACGATCGGACCAACTAGTCTTCGATCAATATCCACAACAGTCATTTTCATGGGAATGTTGATTGTTTGTTGAAAACACGTCCTTTAAACGTAACGAATATGATGTCAATCGACGGTGTGTCCACGTTTCTCCAACATTTGATAATTGGACCAAAACAACATTGAGGATTAAGGGGTCTTCTTAAGGACTTATCTTGATATTTACCTGTAATTCACCTGTATCAGTTCTTAACTAAGGGGGTAATTTTTAACGATTTATTGTAAAATATTAACAAAACATATTTTTTTTTTACAAGAATTGGTTTTTTCATATTTAAAAAAAAAACCTTCACAAGTTTTTAAAAGTCGATATAATCTAGCACAGTAATCTGGGTCTATTGTACTATTATATAATATGTCCCAGCAGTGATGAACATTTTAATTTTACTTTGTTTTCATATTTTTTTTAATCGATTTTTTCCATCATAATGTATTATTGATAACAATGTTGCAATCTTGAATAAAAATAAACAATTTATATTCTGAGAGCTTTTAAGAATTTATAATAGCTTGAGTCATTAAACTTATATAAAAGTATCAAACGCTGTTTATTATCAAAGATGTAGTATATTTAAAAATCTTAACCAACTTGCATTAATTGTCCAAAGCATACGTGACAAATCGAGAATACTTGTAGCTCACAATTCAACAAGCCAGTTCCCACGTTAAACACCCAACAGTTCAAGACGTGATGTACCCAATTTGTATTCTCCCTTTTTGTGGAAAAATAGAACAGATATAAGACAGCATGCAAAGTACATTGACTTCGGCTCTTATGATATACAGACAAAACAACCAGGTAGACGATATATGGTTCTTCGCACTAGATACTATATATGAACATAAAGCTTCGTTGATGCGCATCGTTTTAGATTTGGATATCTACACGTAACACAAATACAAATACATATCAACTTATAGAGTGAATTACTAAAATGAGGTATAGTCAGTGAACATTTCGGTGAATTACAGGTAAATATCAAGATGCCAGTCCTTAAGAGGACCCCTAATCCTTTGTGTTGTTTTAATATAATCATCGAATGTTGGAGAAACGTGAATAAACCCAATCAACATCTAAGTGGTTATATACCTTTATTACAAAATAAGCATTTACTCAATCAGCGCGGTTAGAAGTGACGTATATTGTAATGCATGTTGGGAATAACTGAATGCTGATTACAGAAATAGGTCGTCGCTTCATAAGTTAACTGTACAAAAAAAGTGTTTTGGACTAGAGGGAAAATATTACAAAGAGCAAATGATTACATAAAAGCAACAACTTTTGTTTATTAACTTTTCTTAATACCTGTTGTTTTTTAAGTTTGATCCCTTGGCATATGCTATTTTTTCAGAGGGATCAATCTAGCAACTAGTTAATTTTCTGGAAAAAAAAACGTTAACAACAAGTTGCTACTATTGACCTAAACAAATGCAGTTTTCCATATTTTTGCTAAATTCAAAAATTAAGATTTTTTTCCACTGAAAATTTATATCCTAATTGGGCTATTATACTCCAAATTGGTGATCACAACCCATTTGGGTGGTTGTTTACAAACTGTTAAGTCGCAGGCCTATCGAGCACTTGTCCGTTCAAAACTACAGCAGGCTTGCTAGGTTTAGAACCCTCACACTACTGAACACTGCAATGAACTTAAGATGGTTTATCGAAGGGCAGGTAGGGATGATTGTAATCGCTATCACAATACCAGTAGCGTTACAAACATGCTCCATACTCACAACTGGCCGTCCTTACATCCGTTTTTCCCTTTTAATATCACACAATGAAACTTACTGCCTACAAATGTAGTACTTTCGCCTACACTCAGCATTTTTAGAGAACAATTGACAGCTGCTGTTCTCTATAAACTCTCAACTCGCCCGGCCTTAATTAAACACAGACTTAAAACTCGACTCATAATGTTCTATAAAATTGTACACCATATTGTCGCAGTACCTGCCGTATTACTTTTACCAACAAACACGGCAAATCCTTCCATATACACATACATAAACACCCATCTACTTGCAGATCTCAATGATAGACTGTTAAAAATATTCATGTGTCCACGCTAACTATCACACAGTGGTTCATATAAATAAAAATGTTATTAAGTTCTGTTGAAAACAATATTTAATTATTACAAATTTTATTTTTTTTGGGAAAAGTTTGCCACGAAGGAAAATTGAAATCAAAATTAATCATATTGCATTCGAACGACAATTCATAGCTTTACTTCCTGTAGAATTATTGTTTCGGTTAAGGATGTCCTTCTTACAAAATTTTTGTAAAAAAAACCAACTAAACATTAGCCAAAAACTGTCAGTTTTGAGCGATCTTAATACATTACGTTTCAGTTACATGTTCGAATATACATCAAAATAACTGTTGTTAATGTACACAATTTATCTACGATATCTATGATACTGCGAATTTTAGCAAATGCCTCTGGTGTCAAAATAAAATCAGGGGGAAATTGACCCTACCTCTTTTCAATATGCACATTGTTTAGTGTTCACTGTGTTCACAGAACCCTTACATATATATTGTGTATTTCCAGCCTCTGTTTTCTGCTCTTTGATCGGATTTATGTCTCTTTGGCACATTCCCTGTTTCCATTCTTTATTCTTTTGTTATGTTTTTTCTACTCCTCTTATTTGTACTGCATGTTAAAGAACAGACGGGCAGCTCAACTACTATCATTGTAAGAGCGTATGGAAATAGAGAATGATCACGAATAAGCTTATAATTTTATATTTCACCGCGATATTGCACTCAATAGGAAGTAAGTATTGGTCATGTGATCAAATACCTGTCTTGTCTGAGCGGATCGACATTTCCTTGATCTCAGGTATAGCTGTTTGTAACACTTACAATGACATTCTTGACATCTAATTGATTCGTTCCTAGCATACTGAATCAAATTCTGAATCAAAAAGTTCATTTTAGAGTAGCTGTGTAAATCAATATTAAATTAAAGATTTTAAATTCTACTTTCGTTTTCGTTTCGCATGTATCAGTGTACATATAAAGTTCATTATGGGAAATTGACAAATATGGCCACATTTACACCACAATTTTTACTTAGAGTTCAGACAATACTTTGCACCTGGAAAATGATTACGTCTAATACGGACTAAACAATGCCTAACTGTATCACAAATATTAGTATGTAAAGCATAGCACTATACAAAGTACAGTTTTATATGAAATATTAATGTTACAAAGTTATCATGCCAAGATAACCTTTTTACTTCTATTTTCCTATTAATCTGCCTCTTTTTTTGGGGTCCTGTCACAATTAAATAAATCATATTACATCTGTCTCCGAAATAAAAGGCGTTTTTCAAAAATGATAAATTTTAGTCCATCCCAGGAAGTTTCTTATACGCAGTTTTACTAGAAAGATGTATTATAAGTCTAACAGGAAAAATCAGTGACTCGGAAAATCTGTTTAGTTGCCCCTTTGTACATGTAACAAACATATAATTATATGACATGCGCCAATAATATTTCAAATCAGTTCTCTTAGATTTGCAAGAATTTAGAAAATAAGTCATTCGGTCCTGTTACAGACAAGAGAAATGGATATTTCTATTTTTTCAAATGAAAAAAAATATCAATATACATATATATATTAAAGGATTTTTTTACCTAAATTGTGTTAAACTTTAAGAAATTGTAAATGGAAGCAAACTTTTTATTTTTTTATTTTGTAGTATGTCCAGTAAATTGACTGTTTGTGGAGTATGTGAATACCTTAACATCAACAAACAATCAGTGGTCTGGTGTTCAGAATGCAACGAAGGACTTTGTGAGGTGTGTAAAGTGCATCATTCAGCTTCAAAGGGGACAAGAAGCCACAGTATTGTTCCAATCTCCGAGTACCAGAATTTACCTTCCAATATATTGGAAAATACCCAAACATGTCCAAAACACGATGACAAATACGTTATATTTTGTAAGAAGCATGATACTCCATGTTGTAGACGATGTGTTACTGAAACCCACAACGATTGCAAAGAGATAGATGTGATAGATGACGTCATTCAAAATGTAAAATCATCAAATGCATTCTTGGAGATTGAACACAGTTTGGCAGAACTTTCAGGAAATTTGCAGCAAATAATAAAAGATCGGCAAGAAAATATAAAAAGTCTGATAGAGAATAGGGCAAAAATAGAAAAGGAAGTTCAGCAGACACGAAACTTGATTAACAATCATCTGGATAAGCTGCAGGAAAATCTGATAAAAGAGTTGTATGCCGCTGAGGAAAAGGAAAGCACAAAAATTAAAAACATATTATCATCCATACAAGAAAAAGAAAGAACGATTTCAGGAAGCCAAACAACTTTAGATAGAATAAAACAGCATGCTTCAGACCTGCAGACATTCTTAGCTTTGAAACACATCCAACGAGATGTCACGAACAACGAACAATTTCTTGAATCTTTAATAAAAGAAGAGAAAATGAACCATGTGTCTATTTCTTGGAAAAACGAAAAAGGTGTGGAGATTTTACCTACCACGATCAAGAAGATGGGAACAATTATATTGGATAGCAGATCAGGTGATGCAACTTTAATAAACAGGAAGAACAAACAAGCCCAGATAACGTTGCCTATTACACATGTTCCTGCTATTGATGATATAACACTTACTTTAAGACAGACCGTGAAAACAACTGGATATGATATCACAGATTGCACCTTACTACCTGATGACAGAATGATTTTTACCTGCTATGGAAATTCCAAAATTCAAGTCCTCAAAATAGACGGGACTTTGGATTTTACACTGGGGCCAGGATTTATTACATATATACACTATATCGAGGAAAGCCAAACACTTGCCGTAACTGCTGGGCAATTCAGCCAACGCATTAAGATTATCGATATGAAAAACAGAAAAACTGAGAAATCGATTTGTGTTCGGTCGATGATGTATGGAATAGTTCACAAAGACGGAAAATTGTTCTATAATGGACATAAAGGTGGATTATGTGTTCTGAATTTAGAAGACGACTCTATTACACAATTAATTAACGTTCCCTTGTCTCGTTTTAGCAGCATTGCAATATGGTCTGATAAACTTTATTTCATAAACGAAGATAATGCAGTAACATGCTGTGATCTTCAAGGAGGAATTAAATGGAAATTAGAACTTGATGCATTTCTTAGAGAGCCACGCGGTATTACAGTGGACAACTACGGACGTGTTTACATATCGGGCTATACATCTAACAATATCGGCGTAATTTCACCAGATGGAAGCAAACATCGATTATTGTTGTCAGATAAAGATGGTCTTAAATCCCCACAGACTATGTGCTTCGATCGGAAAAATAACAAGTTACTTGTTGCAAACCAACTAAATGACGCATTTCTTTATGAAGTTTCAAAATGAATTGGTACAATATCAATGAGATTAGCTTATCTGTAATAAATATGTGTGTTATGAAAAAACAAATGCTGACTATGCGGTATGGGTTTTGCTCATCGTTGAAGGCTGCACGGTGACCTATAGTTGTTAACTTCTAAGTCATTTGGTCTCTGGTGGAGAGTTGTCTCTTTATATGTATCGAAGTAAAGACATTCAAATACTATACAGAATTATTACTTAACCACTTCATTTATTGTCGCAACAATTATTTTGTTATGCCCCCGCCGTTTGGCGAAGGGGGCAATAAGGTTTACCCTTGTCCGTCTGTACGTCCATCCGTAGTCAATACGTACGTACGTCCCCAAATTAGTTTCCTTTCTTTAACTTACGTTTGCCCCAACCGAATGCTATGAAACTTATATGCAATGCTTATCACCATCAAACACAGATCAAAATCAAATTTGGGTGGCCTCACTTTCACCGTTCAAGAGTTTTGTCCCTTTATAAATGAAAAAATTGGAGAGTTTGCCGTTTCTGCACTCTAACTTTACTTACTTTACTCAACCACATATTATGAAACTTATACACATTGCTTATTACCACCAAACACAGATCAAGTTCGAATTCACTGGTCTTGTGATATGCCCCTAAATGGCAAATCGCCACATTTTGCTGTTTTGCGCACTCTTACCGCTTTTACTTCTCTTGAGTTATGCCTCTTTATAACTAGCAAATAAAGGCAACAGTAGTATACCGCTGTTCGAAACCCCAGAGCAATTTCTATTGACAACATACAGAAACAAATGTCATTAAGTTTCAAAGAAAATAAAACGTCAACATGTCTGATTTACTAGTAGTACATTGACTCTTGCATATTTACAAGCGGGAAAAAAAATAAAATTAATAAAAAGATACCTATATTCGGCATATTATATCATTGCAGGCTCTACATTGTCGTCAAGGCGGACTCAACTGATCTTTACTTCAAACCATGGTTCAGTGGTCAACGGTAAGTTTTTATGATTAGGTCCAATTTACAGATGCTTTAATCAAAATCTCAACTATAATCGGTGTTCTTGTCGTGTTTCAAATTCAAATTTGTTTTATTTTAAGTCGGCATATTAAATAACAATACAACAGCGCACTTTTGAACCGACTTACGTAATAAATTACAGACATTAATATTGTATACACCGCGAGCAGACACAATAGGACAACCTAAGACATACGTCAATAGTTTACACATACACAATTGTCACATAAACAGTAGTAGTCTAGCATAAAAGCATTTAAAAAATTAAGTTAGAACTTGAAATGAGCAAAAACTTAAGAAGCAGAATAAAATAAAAATTACCGAACAAACAAAGAAAATATGTTTTATGTACGCTGCTGCAGTGTACATGTATAGATGAAAGTGTTGTCAATATCTGCAGGCAACACAGGAACATAACCACTCCAGTACGATATAATGGTCTTACATTGATTGAAATTTGAGCACCATCTGAATAAATCGTGGATGGAATTCTTGCAAACTGGAGCAGCATACCTAAAAGATTGTTTGCCATACCTTGTTTTTTTTACAAAATAAGATTTATCTCTCCGTAAAACAATACATGAGTATCTACCTTAGCGTTTCTTTTTTATGAAAAAGAGGAGGACTAATCCTTTAATCTGTCTTTGTTTTTGCAATAGGGAATACTTTAGTAAGTGTAGAAAATGTTTTTTACACTTTAAAAAAAAGCAAATAAATTTAGATTGTATGTACTCTAACACATCTCTTGAATTTCAAAATATCCATATCTGATTCACACTACCCCCAGAGTATGAAGTTTCACACTAATCCTGAAGCCCTAAAGCTCCTACAATCTCTGGCGCAGAGATCATTTCGGTTCCGTTCTATACTTCGTAACACTACAATCAATATTAAGTGAAGTATTGCGAAGCACGTATGGAACGGATATGAACTCTGTGCCGGAGATTGAATTTCCTATTGGTCATAAGCCGCTAACGCATTTAAGTTGTTAAACTTTCAAATGTTTTGGAATAAGTATACCTGGTGAAGAGAAATTTAGAAAAAGTGCTTCGGACGTACACACTTATAAAGTGTTATTTTCGTAATCAAACAATGACTAGATACAAAATATGTCTCTTTTTGGAAATGTACGTATCATCCTTCTTTTTGTGCGGCAAAAATAAGCACAGATATAAGTTATACACTTAATCCAATCATAACAGACTGATTTCCATTTGTTTTAGGACCATGAACACATAACACATGCGAGTCAAAGTTAGTATGTTATAGCAAATTACATATTTAGTTTGGTTTGTTGAACCGTGTACTTTATGTTTTCTAGGCTAAACATGTAAAACAACACAGACTTTTTGTCAAGATTTAACATAAATGTCTATTGCTAGACTACTTAGGGTGTAAATTTCATATCTTTTTAATGCGGCGGTCACACAAACCCAATCGTGGCTCTCGATTGAGATCAGACAGAGCTACAACACGAAAAGTGAAAAAGTCGTATTAATATACTCAATGATCTGGAATATCTTATCACTGTCTGAACGCAGTCGTATACGTTTATATCATATGCTATGAATCGAAAATGCTCCGGAGATGTCGGTCACGCACTCCCGACGGTTAGGTGCGCGTCCCGTAACATTCGGGAAACTCAGCCAATTTTGTCTAGTCGGATAACAATCGTGACTTTGTCGCGACAGATTCTGCAGTATCGGATCAACGGGTCGCATTCGAGGGGGGTGGGGGATCGGGACGCTGTCGGGACAGGTTTCGACGTTTTGTTTTAAAGTGCGAAATATACAAATCGGGTCAGAACCGCTTTTTACCACGCGAAAGATACAATTTGGATCAGATTCGGATTAAGAAAGAGATAATCGGAACGCTTTATGACAATATCTGATTGTTGTGATTAAATGAATGTTTTTAAACATTTCCAGCCACGAATCACAGGATCTTGATCCGAATTTCGATAAATTTTGATCGGGAATGGTCCTATCATGGAGGGCAGTAGAAATCCTTATGTGACTGAGGTATAAAATCTCGAAATACCTGTTCCATTTGAATTTTTTAACAATTTTTATGAATTAACTTGAAACACTTTTTTTAGATATAGGGATGAACTTTGGGGGCTACATGGAGCCCTTAAATCACTATATTCATTGGGTTTTTTTTTTTACATTGAATCATATTTGAATTATACTTCTCTTATTGAAAAAAGCGAAATTAACACTTTATAAATTGTATACGCCCGAAGCACTTTTCTGTATTGACCTTTATTAGGAACGCTCAAGGCCTAGTATATGAATGCCAAGGATGTATAAGAACTAAAACTGATGAATTCGGTATTTGGTATTGGAATGTGAAATATGTAGTAAATGCAATATACTTTTTGGAGAACACCTTTTCTTGACGGCTTTATGACCTTCACAATCCATTCCACCATATTGCGGGGCATTGCATGTTCTTCTTTTTATTGTAAAACCATTTTTGTTACATGGTCCCCAAGCAGACCAATCAGACCAATAACCATTAATAGGCGCTGAAATTAATAATAAATGCATTGCAATATAATTTCTTTTAGTATTATATTTGCATAATCAAATCTGTTTGCAAAAATCGTCCTCATTCTAGCTGATAGAAATAATAAACTACATATATATCTACGAGTTATAAACATACGTTGGTTTTCCCGTTTGAATGGTTTTACACTAGTAATTTTGGGGGCCCTTTATAACTTGCTGTTCGGTGTGAGCCAATGCTCCGTGTTGAAGGCCGTACCTTGACCTATAATGGTTTACTTTTATAAATTGTTACTTGGATGGAGAGTTGTCTCATTGGCACTCATACCATATCTTCCTATATCTATTTGTCATAGGTGAACATACATTTGTTCAAAAGCAACTGTATACTAGAAAGTTTCTTTTCATTCTGTGGATCCATTATTATTCATAGATTACCAATTTTCGTTGATTTCGTGGGTATACGTGACTACAAATATAAGTCTTTAAAGAATTATAAATTTTCAATAGTCTTGAATGCAGACATTGGCAAATCCACGAAATGAAATGTCCACAAAAAATACAATTTTCTTCAATCCACGAAAATTGGTACCCATGGGAATAAATGAATACACAGTAGATCTGATAAATTATTGAACAATAGTTAATGCCTTACACTAACTTTTGGTTAATCTATTCATGGAATAAAATTCTCTACATCAGCATACAACGTTGGTAAACAATGACCCAAATGTTGTGCGCACGAAAGTCATAACACTTGTTTTTTACAGCCTTTACATTTTTAAACCAAACCTATTTTTGACTAAAGAAAAATAAAGCATAAAATATTCATCCGTCGGAAGGTACAACTTACTATTGATAGTGTCATGATATCCATCTCCGAGTCCATAATATTCATGGGAACCTGACCCACAACGTGTCAGGCATTCCCCTTCTGTGTTAAAGCAGTTTCCGTTACCACCATCTCCTGAATAATCAAACGTTATACATTGTTGGGTGTTCGAGTCCCAAAAATATCTTCTTACACGTTCATGGCCGCTTCCATAGACAGCTGGTAGACTACAGCCTGTATTGTGGAGATAAAATGATATATTTATATACGGATTTGTGTGTAATATCTCGAAATGTCCTACGATATGTTCATGACTCTGGAAAAATGTATTAACAAAAATACCGAACTCCAAAGTAAATTCAAAAAAAGGAAGTTCATAAAACCTGACAATATCAAACGTTAGTATATATCGGCAAACGGAACGAATTGTCGTGGATTGAACCTGGTTTTATAGCTAGCTTAACCTCCCATCCCAATGGCAGTTGTTTATAAATCCGTAAGATCCGTTATATTGACAAAATCCGTATGACGAATGGTCCGTGCAAAGAAAGACATGCTTGTTCTGTTGACCTCCTGGTTTGTCTCCATTTTGTGCACACGATTCCGATTTCTTTAACTTCTATGTTAATAAAAATAGGGAGATGTGATATGCCTGTCAATGAGACAAATATCACCTATGACCAAAGTTCAATGAAATAATCCACTACAAATGACCATCAACAATGAGCAAAACCAATGAACCATAAGTTATCACAGGAGAATAAATAGTACACAATTCAAAGAGAGAACATATCTAGTTAAACGAAAGACAATTACGGCAAACAACGACCACCACTAGACTATATAAC